TTCAGAGATAGATGAGTTTCTCTATCACGGAGGGAAGCTTTTCGTTGTAGAAATGAGTTAAAGTCAAAGTTGGTAGGTCGGCCTACGTTGAATTCAAACGAGGGCGTTGTAGACGTTGATGTTGTTGTTTAATCTTGTTGATCTTCTCCGTAGAAGCTTCTCAGAACTTCGGCTCGAGTGTAGTTGTGGCGCTCATCTTCAAAAATCATGTTGTGCATAATGATAGATGCTTTCATTATGTCCCGCAGTATGTCCTCATTGTACGCCAGTGACGGTTTTCGTATTATTACAAATCGAGCTTGCAATACACCGAAAGCTCTTTCAACGTCCTTCCGAGCAACAGCCTGATGGTCAGCGAACATTTTATCCTTCTAAACTTGAGGATATGTGATACCCTGAATAAAAGTTGCCCACTTTGGATAAATGTCACCCGTCGGCTAAGTAATAAGCCATGTTGTATTCATGGCCGTTAACTGTAAAATTTACCGGAGGAGCTCGACCATGCAGAACCTCATCGAACACTGGTGAACGGTACAACACATTAAGATCATTACAAGATCCGGGAATACCAAAGAAGGAATGCCAGATCCATAAATCTTGATCCGCAACGGCTTCCAATATTAGTGTTGCTTTCTTACTTCTACCGGCGTACTGCGCTTTCCAAGCCGTTGGACAGTTCTTCCATTCTCAGTGCATGCAATCAATGCTGCCTATCATGCCTGGAAAACCACGCTGTTCATTTTGATGCAGTATTCGGGCCAAATCATCAGTTGTAGGGTTTCACAGGTACTCGGTTCCGAACTGATCAATGACCCCGGCACAAAAACGTTGAAGGGCAACACGAGCGGTTGACTGACTGATTTGAACGTATTCATCCACGGCGTCTGAGAAAGGAATGGTGTCCTTCCAACAAGTGTATTCTTCCGATAGAGGGTTCAGAATTATTACGGAGCTAATTCTTCAGTAAGGTCAAGTGATCGCAATGCCTAGGTGGAGGCCACTTCCGATCAGTATTATCAATGTATAATTGATGTTACAGCTTAATCTTAACTGAAACCTTCGGGTCAAACCCAATCGAATCACCGATCCGAGACGACGAATTAATCCGAAAGGATTTAATGAGTCAGCAGGGTTTTACGAATACAGACGTCGGATATTGAGCCTAGGGCGTCGAGACCGAGTGTCGCGAAATCACAAAGCAACAAGTATGAACATAGCCCTAGCACCACACTGGCTATGGAACTACATCGCAGCATGCGTGCTTGGGTGCTAGGAACCACGCACAAGCACAGCACCATGGTAAGCCTTGTGTGCGTGTGCATGTGCGTGGAGGGCATCGCAGCAGCAGAAGCATGCAAGTGTGTGCGAGGCTGGCGCGCATGGCTGGCAAGGCAAGGGGCCAGCATGCGTGGCTTGCTAGTAGCACGCATGCTGGCTTTGCTAGCGTGTGTGCGATGGCGAGGGTGATGCGTGCCAGGAGCCAGCACTAGCTAGCAGGCTGCATCGCTTGGCTAGCTAGCAAGCAGCAGCGCTAGGCGTGCTGTGCATGCGAGGAAGCTGCTAGGCAGCCTTGTGCTAGCTGGTTGGGCTGGCTGGCAGTGCTAGCTGGCACGCTAGCTGGCTGCCAGCCCAACAGCCCTTAGTGGCGGTTTTGTGAAGATAGTGGGGACCAAGGCTTAGAGCCATGCCTTGGGGAGCAAGGCAATGGTCCCCCCCCCCCCAAGGTTCATGTTCCTCACCTAACTCTCTCTACCCTTTTGCAACTTGTTGCCTTGTGATTGCTTTTGCTTAATTATTTATTTTGGAATTAAATAAATTATTGCATTTGCACATGATCCCACATTGATCATGAAAAGGGGGTTCAAGTCCCCATTCTCTATAAATACCCACTTGGTTGGGATTTTGAGAATACAACCTTGAGTGGAATTAAAAAGGCAACTCTAAGTAAGAGTAAACCTTTGATTCGTAAAACTCATAGTTATTTTGTCCGGGTCTTGACTAACCTTCAAGACTTAGGACGCTCGGGTCGGGTCGAGGGTACGATCCGTCGGAGATCTCGTGTTTTCGGGATTTTGAAGTAAGAGCTCTTTGGGAGCGAAGCACGCGACAAAGGTGTAATTCTTGTTCTTAATCTTGTTTGATTAAGTTAATATGCTTGTTAATTGTTTTAATTAAGGGGCGGGTCTTGGTGGGTTTCCTTCCGCATAGTGTCGGGTCACTACGAAACCCTACAGTCTGCAACCAAGCCGTAGGCTAACATTCTTATCGCGGTTGTGCATTTTTGCAGAGGTGATAAGCCTAACCTTCCAGCTGCATCCCTACGCTGTTGGAAGTAAACATCACCTTCAACGACCTTGTTCATTATACGTAAAAACAAAGGTCGTTGCATTCGAAATCTTCTTCTAAATTGGTTGGTGTTGTACACGAGATTATCAAACACTACAAGAAAAAGGCCAGATTCCGACGGACATCTTCCGACGGAAACAAAAATCCGTCGGAATGTCCATATATTCCGGCGGATTTATATTCCGTCGGAAATTTCCGACGGATTTCCTACGGAATAAACATCCGCCGGAATATATGGACATTCCGACGGAATATTCCGTCGAAAAATCTATATTCTGACGGAAATAAAATCCGTCGGAAGGTTCCGACGGAATATTCCGTCGAAACATTAAATTTCCGACAGAAATATAATCCATCGGAATTTAAAGTTTCCGACGGAATATTCCGTCGAAAAATAATTAAATAATAAAAAAAAACTAACCCATAAAACCCTAAACATAACCCGGATCCCCCTTTCCTTCTCATTTCTCTCTCCTCTCCGCCACTCTTCCTCTTCTCTTTCCTCTCTTCTCCTTCTCTCTCCTCTCTTCTCCTTCTTCTTTTCATTCCTTTCTCTTTCCTTCTCCATCTCCTCTCTTCTCGTTCTTTTCATTCCTTTCTCTTTCCTTTTCCTTCTCCTCTTTCTCCTTCTTAACATCAACAATCGCATTAACCACATCAACAATCGCAACAACAACAAGCACAGCCGCAACAACCACCGCCGCTCAACACCTCCTTCAACCACCAGTCGTTGCGTCGTCCGCCGTCAACCGCCGTAGAAGGTTGGAAATATAGAATAAATATGGGTTAGTTTGTAGATCTAGGTTTATTTATCACAAATTTATGCTTATAATTAATTTTTATGATGAAATTGTAATATAAGTTTTTAAATTTTGTATTATAAGTTTGTAATTTTTCGGATTTTTGGACATTGTAATATATAATTGTTTATTTTAATTTTGTGGTTTTGTTTCGATTTTATGGTTTTGATTTCGTTTTTTTTTTATTTTTGAAGTATCGGTTTTTGTTTGCATTTTTCGATTTTGTTATTTTTTTTTTTGGTTTTTGGAGATCGATACGGTGGTTTGGGGTGGTCGGGGTAGTCAGGGGTGGGTGTGGGTGGGGGTGGTCTAGGGTGGGTCTGGGTGGTCTGGGTAGGTGAGGGTTTGGGTGGTCTGTGTGGGTGTCGGTGGGGGTGGTCTAGGTGGGTGCGGGTGGGTGGTGTGGGTGGGGGGTGGGTAGTCTGGGTGGGTGGTGTGGGTGGGGGGTGGGTGGTCTGGGTGGGTGGTGTGGGAGGGGGTGGGGGGTCTGGGAAGGTGGGGTGGGGGCTGTTTTTTTTTTTTTTTACTGACTTTTCCGACGGAAAATTCCGTCGGAAGAGGAATATGCCGACGGAAATTTCTGTCGGAAATTTGCGACGGAATTTCAAATAAAGTCAGAAATAACGCCGACAGAATTATATCCGTTGGAAAATTTTTGTCAGAATAAGGCCTTCCGACGGAATTTCCACCGGAAAAGGTCCAATATCCGACAAGGGTTGTTACGATAGACATTCTCCGACGGAATTCCGTCAGAAAGCCTGATTCCAACGGAATTTCCTATGATTTCGACGGAATTTTTCCGTCGGAAATCAGCTGTTTTCTTGTAGTGGAAAAATAATCATTAAACACCCTGGCATGTCCCATTTCCCTATCTCTTCTATTCGTACCCCTTTTGGGTGTTTCTGTAGTGGGTTGGGATTGTGTTTGGGGCATGAGGAAAGTTGGGGGTTGGAATGTGAAGAGTTCATCAACGAGTTGATCATATTCTTCAGTATTTGTAGAAGATGAACTTGAACTTGAACTTGATGATGGTCTGGAATACATCTTGTATTAATAATGTAAGTTTATGAATTGGTGTGGTTGTGGATATGTGCCATGCTTACTATATATAGAAAATATATCAAATGAATATGTGGTTACAAATCTGAATGACCACACCAATTGAAGGAATCAAATTTTCAGCCGCGGAATAGGTATACTATGCTAGTTGACAATGACAAATCTTGAGTGCAATTATGTCGGTAACAATGATAAAAAGTTAAAGCATTCTGACAAAGTGAATTCAGAAAAAAGTGACTACACAATGAAAAAAGTGAATGCAATTATGTCGGTAACAATGACAATTGAAATCAACTTGTTAAACAACTTGTCATTCAATATTGGAAAATCAGAATACAAGTTTACATCTGACATTGAAATTAAACACACCACTAATACAAGTTAAAAATAAAAGACTACATTGTGCATAATTAAAAACTTAACTAATACAAAAATGGACCAACTACAATAGCATAATTAAAAACTTGAGTAATACAAACGTAGACCAACAACAATAACATGCTTAAAAGCCTTGTAATTTACCAAGTAAAAAATTCTTGTACGCCTCTTCTTGTGAAGTGAGTGGCGTATGCGAATTCTTCAGAGTTTGCAACATATCAAACATGGTTCTCATCTTATGAATGTCAAGTTCCTCCCGTTTCCTCTGTTCCTTATCCTTTTCAATTTTTATCCTCTCTTCCTTCAGAATGGCCTCCCTTTCGCAAATTGTAGCGAATTCCTTTATTCTTTCGCCAAGGTCTGACGAACCACTTTCTGTAGCCACTGCTTTCCCTTTACGCTTGGCCTTTGCTTTCTTCACACCATCGGGTCGTCGTATTCCTCCAATGAAAAACCATCTGTAGGGGTTTCATCCCCTACATCATCTCTCGACCTCTTCCTACTTCCAGCACTACCTTGCTCCTCAACATCACAAACAGCTTTTGTTTCCTCCTTTGACAAGGACCATCCCAGCTTTGGCCTCCACTTTGGATCTTTATTAAGCATTTCAACTGCGTGAGGAAAACTGAAATTGTGAACGGTGGCCAGATGAAAAAGCTTTAATGCACTTTTTACACGGTCAGCTTCGTTGTAACCCCTCCCTCCCTCCGGAAGTCTACCCGCTTCATCATAGCAAGATATCCACTGTAGTGTGTCTGCTGCCAACCTTCTCCAGTGCAACGACATACTCTTCATATTTCTTCGCGGAAGTATATGCGGCTTCTCCGCCTGAGCCATTTGATATGCTGCGTGTACATTGCGCCATAGGTCAGTTGCTTTCTGGTCCGTACCTTTAATAGCATCTTCGCTAATCTGCAAGTACAACTCAATCAGAGCGCCATCTTCCGTAAAGAACCAAACACGAGTCGCTTGTGCAGCAACCTGGTTGCCCTGCATTCTGGGAACTTGTGGAGGATACTGCGCGTCTCTGGTACGTTTTCCTCTTGACTATCATCGAATTGGGTGTTGCTACCATGATCAGTTATAGGTGAACGTTCTTCATTATCATAGCTTTCTAGGGGAAATTCAGTGGGTGTCTTATGTTGTGGAGGTGGTTGCAAAGACGTATTTCCCATTCTTTGCAAGAACAATTGAAACTCGGGATTAGTTAGGAAATCATCACTAAAACCAGAAAATTGTTGATGGAAATTTGGGTTGTTCGGATCCATTAAAAGATTCTACATCACAAAACAAAAAATAAATATGTTTAAAAAGATTGTAATAAGACATGACATTCACAACATTATTTTAGCCAATTTTTGTAACATTTGTACATAACCTAACTTTCACAACACTTAATTTACTAATATACAACTTGCAACAATTTTAACTACATTCAAACAACAATTAAAATGACAACAAATCAAAAAATATAATCTAATACCACTTAATTTATTAAATATACAACATTCACGTTCAACAATATATCAACAAAACATATAATACATAATATAATGTAACGAAATTAACTACCTATACAAAAATAACATATAAATAATTTAGCATAACAAATTACTTCACATATACAAAATAACAACCCAATTTCCAAAAACTTAGCAAATAAATTCAGATTACATTAACTTCAAATTTATTAATGTATGAACAAAATAGCAACATCTTTCTAAATACAGTTATATATATAATTGCAATTACATTACATGAACTACATTTTTTAATTTGCAAAAAAATCACATATATACTAATTTTAATAAATAACTGAATTTTGCAAAAAAAAAAATTAATATTTACCTGAAAATCGATGAAATACAGCAAAAATCTTCTTCTAATTTCGGAATATTTAGAAGAATAAAGTATATGAAGGATTTTTGGTATTTTTGAAATTATACCAAAATATACCAAAATGCATGTCTATTTATAGAGAATTAAATTTTATTACCGTTGGTAATTTTTTTTTTTTTTTAATAAATATTTATTTCAGAAATTACATTACAAACATTATTACTGTTGGCAACAGCCAGAATTTTCCTATTGGCCAGCTTCCTGCACCTGCCACGTGGCACTCCAGCATTCGTCCATTGACTGACGCGCGTTAGTCAACTTTTTTATTTTTTTTTTCAGAACCCCTTGGTCAAAACACAGCGTTTTGATTTGCCTTCTTCTTCACTACACCATTAAACGCATCGTTTTGATGCTGCCTCCACCGAAATTTTTAATTTTAAATCAGCAATATGTGTGGCCCACCATCTTAAGACATTTTTAGACATGCCCATGGGCAACTAATACTTAGCCCACCAATGTGACCTAATTTTTGACATGATTGCCCACCAAAATGCCCATGAGCAAACTTAATGTCCACCATTGTGGGTGCTCTTAGGGCATGCATGACTCTTGCCAGAATGCCAGGGACGCTCTCCCCTTTTTAAAATGACAATATTTATGTGTTTGATTAATTGATTTGTTCTTACTAAATTCGGGATAGTCTCACACGCGCACATACACACAAAATTTTTTTTTTTAAATAATATATATATATATATATATATATTTATATTATTTTGTTATAATTTTTTAAGTCATTTAAACATTAAGGTGATGAGGGCAATTTTAAGGATGACTTTTGAGTGGCTACAATATAATTGTAATCATTATATTAAATTTGATCACAACTTTTCATTTATGTTGACTAATGTGAATGGTTGATATAGATTACCATTTATTTTAAAAAAAAAAAACAGAAAAATAGGTTCATGATTTGTTAGTTTCTTTTGTTTACAGTAGGTTTTGCTTCTCAATCTTTTGTTTACAGTAGGTTCATGATTTGTTAGTTAATCTTCTCAGCATTATGATGGAAACTATTATGCAGGTGTATGTATTCCGAATCAATCAATTTGGGGAAAACTAACTTCATCTTCTTCCATGTATTATAGATAGATTTCAATTCTTTCCGTAATTTGTATACAAACTAGTAAAGTAAAGAATTTGCAGAACAAATTTTGCGGGAAATCTTATTCTCCATTTCATTAAGATTGAGGAGAAAAACCAAAAAATAACTACTTGAAATCAAGAGAATCTGACAGTTCTTTTTTTTTCAAAATTTGTTATACAAAAAATAAAAAAGTTGACCCTATCAACGGTTCATATTAGTCAATATAAAATGAATGGTTGCAATTTGATTTAATATTATGACCATAATTTTATTGTAGCCATTGGAAAACTATCCCATTTTTAATACGCATATTCTTAGATGCACCCTTGTGCAACTAAGCTGGCTGCACCATTAATCAAATACCCCTTTTTATACTCCAAACACGCATATATACTTTGTACTACTGGACTACTGGTATATATTACTTCATCTCCTTCCCTCAATCTTCTTCCTATTTTATTTCTTTCCTTATTTCTTAATTTTTACATAAATTTTTCTCTTTTTTCCAAATTTTTTTACTAAATTCTTAATTTTGGTTGAAATTTTCTCTTCCACTATGTTTGGCATTATCTTCTTCTTTTAACATTTTCTCTTTTCTCTATTTTTTGTATTTTCGTTGATTCATGATGGATTTAATTGGAATCATGAAAAGATTGTTGATATAAGTTAGTTTATGTTATTGATTTGTAATTTAGTTTAATTGGTTATATTTTCTGAATTTGTGATTGATATTGCATATATAATTTTTGGGTAATTTGCCAATTTATAATAGGTGATGAACACAAATTGATTGTAGTACTTTTCTTTTCACTTTTCTTTCCTATAATAATTTGAATCAAAGTTTTCATCAAAATTTCGATCATAATTTTCATCAAAATTTATTCTTCTTTGTTTTTCCTCTTTTGTTCTTCATTTTCTCTCTCCTCTGTTTTCTTTATTTTTCTCTTTTGTTTCACTTTTTCGAATTGATTTTGTTGCTTACTATGGAATTAGTTGTTATTCCTTAAGAGATCGTCAATGCAGGTTAGTGTTTTGTTTTGTTGATTGTAATTAGGTTTATTTTTAGGTTATATTCAATTGTAATTGTATTTTGTTTTCTATCAATATGATCTATGTATGAATTTCGATTTTTTTTTTGTGGTGATTTTGTAATGAATTTTGATCAGTTTGATTAGGTTTGTGAACATGCAATTCATATGAATTGAATTTATGGCCTTTAATTATGAATATAAGAAAATTGAAGAAATAAAAAATAAAATGATTATGAAACATACGCATTATAAGTATTAAAAATATGAACATATGAACTAAAAATATGAATATATGCATTTTAGAAAATAAACATACGCATTCAAAATAGGAAAAATTGCCTGGAATAATCTCATCTTTAGGTCGTCCGCTAAAAATAATCCCACCTATGAGTTATTTTTAAATAATCCGACCTTTATAACCAATCTGCTCTAAATGGTCCAAGTGACCAGTAACCGATTGAAGAAGAAATTTTATTTTTATAAAATTTAATTTACACGTGTCACAATTTGATTTGTCCAAAATAAAAAAAATAAAAAATAAAAGTAAAATCAAATAACAAAAAATAACCACCACCATCATCCCCGCCACCACCCAAACCCAGACCTCGGAACCACCACTGCCACCAAACCAGACCCTAGCCAACCTAGGAACCACCGCCACCACACCAGACCCAAAACCAGACCCTGGAACTACCGCCACCAAACCAGACCCCAACTAAGCCAACCCCAAAACCCCCTTCGAAAAATCAAAAACCCACCAAACTAGACCCCATGAAACTGGTTGGGGAGGTCGGCGCGGCAAGAATCGACGTCGGGGGAGGACGACGCGGTCGGAATGGGGGACAGGGAAGGTTGGTGTGGCCTGTTAAGGGACGGGGGATAGGGAGGGGGCTGGGATCGGGAAGGGAAAGGGGTTTTCGAGGGCAAGGGGACGCCGCGTGAGGGAGGGAGGGAGGGAAGGGGTTGGTGGTTCAGGGGAGGGGATCGGTCGCGACGTCGGCGCTGGTGCTATGGTTGGGGGCTGGGTGGCCGGAGCTGCGGGAGGGAACAGGCTCAGGCACCTGGTGGGTGGTGGGTGGTTTTTTAAATTTTTTTTTTCTTTTAAAAAATCTAACTTTTTTTGAATTTTTTTTTTTTGACCAATCACAGGCCGCCACATGTAAGGTAACTTGTTATAACAAGTTACATGACCGGTTGGAACCATTTAGAGCGGATTGGGTATAAAGGTCGGATTATTTAAAAATAACCCAAAGGTGGGATTATTCTGGGCAATATTTCCTTCAAAATATGAACATATGCATGGTTCATTTTTTGAATGCGTATGAACATAATTAAGCATTTTAAAAGGTGAACATATACATAAAAAATATGAACATATGGATTTCAGAAAGTGAACATATGCATTTAAGAAAGTTTACATCAGCATTTTAGAAAGTTTACAAAAGGATTCAAAGTATGAACATAAGCAATTTAAGAACGAAAGTGAACATATGCATAAAAAATATGAACATATGCATTTCAGAAAGTGAACATAAGCATTCAAAATATGAACATAAGCATAAACAGACACAATAGACAAAATGAGAACATTTTATTATTATTAAGAATATTTTATCATATGAACAACAAATAATAATATTATGAACATTTCAAAACATTTCATGAACATAAGGTATCCGTTTGATTTCACTAAATTTTTTAACAATTCCAATAAAAATTTTGAAAAACAAAGTATCGAACAATATTCAAACAAAATTAAGTGAAATTTACATAAAATTACCTTTTTTGCATTGGGAGAATCCGTTTGATTTTCATCTCATCTCAAATATCCATAGTTGTTTTGGAGGAGAGAGAGTGAATTGTGTTTGATTGTAAGAGAGAGAAAATCAAAGAGAGCAGTAATAAATTTCAAAAATTTAAGTTTGAGAGTGATGATTTTTTTAAAAAAAAATTATATTTTTTAAAAAAAATAATTGTTG